CTGAGACAGAGTCTCGCCTTGTCACCCAGGCTGAAGTCCAGTGACACGATCGTGGCTCACTGCAACCTCCACCTCCCGGGTTCAAGCGACTCTTCTGCCTCAGCCTCCCGAGTAGCTGGAACCACAGGTGTCTGCCACCACGCTTGGCTAATTTTTGTAGTTTTCAGTAGAGACGGGGTTTTACCATGTTGGCCAGGCTGATCTTGAACTCCCGACCTCGTGATCCACCCGTCTAGGCCTCCCAAAGCGCTGGGATTACAGGCGTGAGCCACTGTGCCCAGCCAGTACAGAACAATCTAAACCCAACCTTTTAACTTAAAAACAAAGGCAGTATAAGCCTAATAAGACTCTTCTTCAGTATAAAATAAATACCTTAACCTAGATCTGGAACTGAAGAACTTTCCAGAACTTTTTTATATCTGACAACTTCAAAAATGGGATTGAAGAGGTTTTGGAAATCTAAATACATATAAGGTAGAATAACTAAAAATAAAATGGAATATAATACAAAATATTGATGGTATTCTTGATGCGAACAGGTATCTAATTATTTCATCTGGGGTACTGAAAAGAAACACATTGATAACTTTGTCTAAGCCTGATGTCTCTTCTGTAATATGGATTTTATAAAAATTATTTAATAAGGCTGAAGCAAGAATTAAATAAAATATACAACACCGAGTACAATTCTCAGGCTATAATAGGCACTCAAAATAAAAAGGTTATTATTATTATATAGACTTCCCAAAACACATATTTTCCTAAAACTTAATTCAAGAATAAATATAATTTGTAGGTTTTTATAAAGAGGCCACTGGGTAATACAATGAATCACATCTTTAACTATAATTTTTCAAAAGTAAATTCAGATACTGATCTTTTTTTTTTTTTTTTTTTTTTTGAGACAGAGTCTCGCTTTGCCACCCAGGGTGGAGTGCAGTGGCGTGACCTTGGCTAACTACAACCTCTGCCTCCTGGGTTCAAGTGATTCTCCTGCTTCAGCCTCCTGAGTAGTTGAAATTACAGGCGCCTGCCATCATGCCCAGCTAATTTTTGTGTATTTACTAGAGACGAGTTTTTGCCATGTTGGCCAGGCTGGTCTCGAGCTCCTAACTTCAAGTTATCTGCCCACCAAGGCCTCCCAAAGTGCTAGGATTACAGGCACGAGCCAGCGCCCCACCTCGATCCCTATTAAAGCTAAGAGTATAATCTTGAGGGCAGAACACTCTATTTTAACTCAGTGAACAATGTATTGATTGCAGATGGTTTAGAAAATATGGTCTGATAAATTGTAAGACAGAATTAAGTTTGGAGGATCTAAAGTGGCGCTAAGTTGACATGTTCCCTGTAATGTTTTTCTCAAATACAAGATGTCCCAAATGCTCTTAAAAAGAACTCATAATTAAATCCTTTTAGTGATCAAAATATATCACATTTACCTTTGTAGCCGTGTAATCTGAAGTCTTGAATTCATTCATATATTCATCTAAAAACACTTTAAAAGTGTTGACCCAAACTCTCACTGGAGATTCACCCAGTGAATCCCGCTGCTCCAGCCTCATTGTCTTTTCCAGAATCTGTTCAAATAGTGCATAGAGGTCTTTATACCGTATGCTTTTCCCATCATCCATCTATAAGCAATAAGAAAAGAAACGTATGGTTTTATAAAGAAACTCTTTAAATATAGAGGAACGGTTACACTTGTAATGGGGTAATATTTAGAATAAAGATGAGGATCCTGATACAATTTCTAATGAGCATGCCCATGAGATCCTGTGGCATTTGTAAACTCCCATTCTAGTATGGGATGAATGCAGAATAAAACATGTTAAATTTTAGTAAAAAACCGAACTGTAATAATTTCAGGAAGTCTCGAGAATTTCTCTTCTAAATGTGACTTTTTAATTTTATGTAGCTATAAAGCTTATTTGCATCCCTCTTAATTACTTACCTCCCCAGAAATGAACCTTGTTTAGATGGTTCTACTCTAAAATTGAAAGAATGAATACTTGAATTGTTGCCTAAGGATATATTAAGTAACCAATTTATTTTTCCAAAGAAGAGTGACATGCCCAGAGTAACATCATATTATTTGCAAGAAACTGAAATAGAACTTCTTTTATTTAAATAAGATCTGGAATTTTTTTTTTTTTTGAGACAGAGTCTTGCTCTGTCACCCAGGTTGGAGTCCAGTGGCATGATCTTGGCTCACTGTAACCTCCACCTCAAGCCATTGAATAGATTCAATCCATTCTCCTGCCTCAGCCTCCCCAGTAGCTGGGATTACAGGTGTACACCACCATACCCAGCTAATTTTTGTATTTTCAGTAGAGACGGGGTTTCACCATATTGCCCAGGCTGGTCTCGAACTCCTGACCTCATGATCCACCCGCCTCAGCCACCCAAAGTGCTGGGATTACAGGCTTGAGCCACTGTGCCCAGCCAAGTAGAGTATAAATTTAGAAGTTTTCCTGATTTTTCTCTTCACAGTGAATTAATATATTGAACAATGAAAAGCCAATAAAATATGAATTATTTTACAGAATATGATAATTCGTAAACACGAATGCTTCTCTAGACCAAAGCATTAATTGCATACACCAAAAATAAATGTTCTAAAACATGACCAATATCATGTGAAAGTATAAGGTAAATCTCAAAGTGATATAAACTGATAAGTAGAAATCACTGACCATAAACTAACTGCCCTAATTCCATTAAAAGAAAACATATAATGCATTCCTCACACAGGAAAATTAGACATTATAGCCTAGCAATACAGCTAAAAGGATTATGAAAGGTCACAGGGAAAAACAGAATCATACCCAGGACATCTGAAGTCAGTACCTTAAAAGACGAAAAAAAAACAGCTGTAAGGTGGGAAAAAGCTACTCAAGGAAATTCAAGCAAGCTGTTAATCTGAAACCATTCAGTACGTTTTTCCTTGTCTATCCCTAAAACAAAAACAAGGAACTGGAGAAATCTCTTGTGAATCATGGCTTTTGTATTATCTTCTACAGCACTGTCAAATTTTTCATATGCTGAACTACTAAATATCTCCTAACATAGCCCAACTCACCGCCAATGCAGATGAATAAAAGCTGAAGATATTCTGCCGAAATTCCTTCAGGGCTTTTTTAAATACAACATCCACTAGTGTATCCTTCTTGCTGTCTTCATTATCTAGGTCATTCATCTGGGAACCACAAAACCAGTTTTGGTACACAATCAACTAATTGAAAAGAAGTAAATACAACAGTAGCCATGTATTGTCTCTTCCACAATGACTGTCCTCAAAGTGCAAGTCACAGGCTATTATAGGACTCAGGTAAAAGTATGACTAGATAGTCAAACTATAATTACTACTCCATGATTTCTACGGTCCCTTCTAACATTGTATGATGCTACAGTTCTGTTACAAGAAAACTCTCACGTGCAACAAGTTGCACCTTCCCATATGAACTGGGACAATTTTAGTAAAATTAAAGTCACTACTAAAGCCTACAACCTTAAATCCTGTCTACCCAGTCTGACTAATGCATATCCTATTATTTGTAGCTTTCTGGTAAAGAACAGACCATCTAAAGCATGGAAGCCTATGCAATTTTGATATCTAGAGGATATATCCTGATATACACAAGTATTTCATAGACAGAGCTGCTAAGGGGCCTAACTTGGCAAATAAAGTGTACCTTTTTCAGAAGAAATTCATCCATGCTTTTTAAATCACTGACACTTGCTATGATCTGGACAGAGTCATTTTGCCAATGCATAGAATCCAAAGCCACGTTGCTAATCTTCACACTTCGCTTGCGCTTAGCCTTTGGAGAAGGTTCTTTGTTCTCTTTGAACTCCTTCCGGCAACTGCCAGACAGTTCTGGGCTCAAAGGAGGTGTTGGGTGATATTGAGCTAATTCTACAATTCAAGATGGAAGACCCGAAAGGACACATTTAGTAAATATATTGATAATCTTCACATCCTTCTTTTTAAGGTTCCTTTAGTAAGTCACTGAAGGAAACATGCAAATATATGAAAAGCAAAGTAACATTAATGTTTGAAGTCAGGCACCTACGCAATAAATCCAGATGGCACATTTGTACAGAAAATGTATTTAAAAATTACCATTTTTCGAAGGGAAATGATATCCTATCTCCCAAGAAGCTGAGGTCTGATGTTAAAAACCTGGATAGAAATGCTTTGCAGGACACCAAGTTAGATCCCAAAGACCTCAGTCCCAAAGAAAAGAAGAGAATATACAACCATACTAGCATATTAAATACTCACTGTTAACAAAGTCATAGCTTTGCTACACGTTTGAAACAACATGTGTAGCTATATACAAGTCCAACAAACTAGTGGAGTTTGATAATTATTATTATTTCTTTACTACAGTCTAAAGTCCTGAATACTTCCGTGATAACATTTGGTGATTGCTGGCAACCTGTTAGGGAGTCAAGTAACTCAACTGGCTTACTTCTGCTTGGGTCTCTTCAGCATTTAGGATTTTCTTAAACATCCCCCACATAACTGTCAATTTATTTTCTCTACAATTTTTCTCTGCAAATGTTTACAACAGAGAAATTAGATTCCATGTAGCCCATTACAATTTAGAACTAGACCAGATTTGCCAAAGTCCTATCTGGAGCTTGATGAGAATGTTGGCCTCCTCTCATTTCACATGCTTGTCTTCCCAACGTGTATGCTCTTTACCTTCTGTCCAATGGTATATCCTGATTCCATCTAAACTAACTTTGACAATAAAGGAAAAAAGTAGCCTCCTACATGCTAAATACCACCTCAGGCAGGAATAGAGACAAACCCAATCTCAACTATGACATGAGAGTAAAGAATATAAAGATATAGGATATAACTATATTCAAACATATATCAACTGATTTTAATTCTGTTATACAGCTTAGATATATTAAGTATCTAATTATTTTATTTAGCAAAGTCAGTATCTTTCTTATTAATAAAATAAACATTTATTAAAGAAATTATCCATAATCCTATATTAGCATTAAAAACAAGGGCTACCTTAATACATTTTTTCCAAATACAAATAAAAAGCTATAATCCTAACTTTTATACATGTGTCATTATGAAGCAAACACACAACAAAGTTTGCTTATAATATGAATTTTCAATTAGAGTTTATACTTCTTTCTCAAGAATGAGCAGCAAAGAATATATAATTGTGGGAAATAAAAAACTTCAAATGATGACTGTCAACCAGATGAAATTGATCACCTTAGTCACTCAATAGCAGGGAATTCCCAGTTTCCCAAACCTGTAGTATTCATTTAACTTGTTATTGGTTTTATCCACATCCATTGTCAACTGGTAGAAGCAAAGCCGTAAGATACAAAAACAGGGGTCTAACTACCTTTCCACCATTTTTTCCTCTGGCATAGAGAGCTCAAGCCCATCCATCCCTCTGGGAAGCTTGATGATTTTTCCTCCTTGTTTCTCTATTTTATCCCAGATATGGGAAGATTTTGGTTTCTTATTTTAACTGGGTCTGTTCTATCCTGCCTTAGACTTTCTTCCGAGGACCTCTTTCTATTTTAGTCAATGCTGGTATTTCACCCACATTACCATATACCCACCTTGGATGTATATCCCTGTTGAAGATAGTTGGTATCTTTACATAGTAGCTAACAACTCTCAGGCATACCTGAGAAAAGGCTTGAGAAGAAGGGGTAATCTTCTAACATTAGGATAACATGGAGAATAAGTAATTTTCCCATTTAGAAAGGTCAGTTTTCTGAAAGATGAACTAACTGTTGAGTACTTCTCAAATGTGTTATGCTGCATGCCCAGAAAGTTAAAATAAGAGCTATGGGACTGGGCATGGTGGCTGATGGCTGTAATCCCAGCACTCTGAGAGGCTGAGGTGGGAGGACAGATTGAGCCCAGAAGTTAGAGATTACAGTGAGCTATGATCACACCACTCCAGCCTAAGCAACACAGTGAGACCTTGTCTCTAAAATTGAAAAATAAGAACTATTATAAAGTGCCAGGCATCTGCTAGATACTGAAATATAGCAAGTACTTAATATACAACACAGTGGTTAAGACTGTGGACTCTGGGGCAGGACTGCCTGGATTCAATTCTTAGCTCTTCCAGTTACCATCTGTACATTCATAAATAACTTTTCTTTTTTATTTATTTATTTATTTGAGACAGGGTCTCACTCTGTCTCCCAGGCTGAAGTGCAGTGGTGTGGTCACAGCTCACTGTAGCCTCAACTTCCCAGACTCAAGTGATCCTCCTACCTCAGCCTCCCAAGTAGCTGGGACTACAGGCACACGCCTCCATGCCTGGCTAAATTTTATATTTTTTGTAGAGATGGGGTTTCACTATGTGCTCAGGCTGGTGTTGAATTCCTGGACTCATGTGATCTGCCCACCTCAGTCTCCCAAAGTGCTGGGATTACAGG